TCCCCAGTCTGGAAGAGCCACACGGAGCTAAGGTGTCCTAGGTCCCCAGTCTGGAAGAGCCACACAGAGCTAACACATCCTAGGTCCCCAGTCTGGAGCTAAGGCGTCCTAGGTCCCCAGTCTGGAAGAGCCACACGGAGCTAACGCATCCTAGGTCCCCAGTCTGGAGGAGCCACACGGAGCTAACGCGTCCTAGGTCCCCAGTCTGGAAGAGCCACATGGAGCTAACGTGTCCTAGGCCCCAGTCTGGAAGAGCCACACTGAGCTAACGTGTCCTAGGTCCCCAGTCTGGAAGAGCCACACGGAGCTAAGGTGTCCTACATCTCCAGTCTGGAAGAGCCGCATGGAACTAACACGTCCTAGGTCCCCAGTCTGGAAGCAGATCCGGGTGAAGCCTGCACTGCGTGGACTGGCACTGCCGAGGCCCCACCTTGGCCCCCAGGAAGCCCTCGGAGAAGAGCATGATCTCGCAGATCTGCTGCAGGTCGGGCACGATCACGACCACGGGCCTGAACAGCGCCTTCACTGACTCGGGCAGCTCCGTGCGGCCCGCGTAGCCGGGGTTCATGGTGATGAAGATGCCCATGCGGGAGTCCAGGGAAATCTCCTGCCCTTCAAACTGGAGAGCAAGAAGGAAGAAAGAAAGAAGCAGTTAGGTGGCCCGGCCGGCCCGCCCCTGGAAAGGAGCCTGCAGTGAGCCGCGTGGGGATTCATTTTCGTGGTAGGAGGCGGATGACATCACTAGCCTCCTTTCCCCTCCCCAGTGTTCAGTGCAGGGCCCCCCTCGCCGAAGACCTTGGGGAGGGCAGGTCTCAGTGGAACCCCAAACTTGGACCTGAACCCAGGGGCACTACCTGGGAGAGGGGCCCAGGTTGACGAAGCACAGAGCCTGGGGCTGATACAAGAAGCCATTGACCCTCAACAGATCACTTAACCTCTCTGAGTCTTAGTTTATTTTTCTGCACAACAGAAATGCAACCTACCTCATGGCAGGGCTGTGGCGATTAAGGGAGACAGGCCAGGTTGGGAGCGCCCAGCCCACCACATCACAGAGCACCCGCTTCCATTCCTCTACCTGGCTTTGCACCCTCTGCGGGTGCCTGGACTTCATGTGGTCACTCCTCCCTAAAGAATCCCACCTCAAACCCTTCAAGAAACCAGTCTTCATTCCTCTGGTTGCCCCAGGTACCAACAAATCACCGAAATCCCTATATTCTTAGCCTCTTTAGCTGAAGGTTGAGTCTGGTTGTCTCTCAGTGAAGTTTTTGGTTTTATTTTTTTTGATTGTCCGCCAGCCAGGCAGAGGACAGAAATTTTTATTTTTAGGAGGCACAGTCTGCATCATCAACAAAGGGCAGCCTGGAAGACAGCCAGCCTCCCCCAAAACAAGGCCACTGCCTCGACTCACAGGTGTGCCCTGAGACCATCCCCACCCCTCCTCGGTATCCCACAAGAGGCCCAGATGGGCCCTGGGGAAGAGCAGACAGCTGCTGCCTCCTGGCTCTGAGAAACACAGCTTCTGGAAACCTACATCGTTAATTCCCTCTCTCGGGAGCAGTCAGCTCAGCCCCAAAAATCCCTCAAAAGAACTCATCAAAAGGAAACCTATCCAGACCTCTTACTGGAATCCTGAAAATATTGAACGGTCTCCAGTTGACACACTCTCTTAACAGTGAGCCCCACCAAGACCTGAGGAGGAGGCAGGTAGGATGCCAGGGCCACCAGTTCAAGCTGAATTTTTATCCTGGACCTCCCAATGGGGCTCTGAAGGATGTATAGGAGTTTTCCAGTAAAGGGAAGAAGGGACAATTCCACTCAGATGGGGACGCACGTGGTGTCACAGGGTAGGGTTTGACTGTGCAGCAAGTGGCTTAGTGACAAGTGTGCAGGGCATGGAGTGGGGAGGACAGAACCAGAAGGACAGCAAGGGACCCAGAAGGCCCTGGTGCAGGGAAATGGCCCACCCACGCTGGTCCTGTGTTTTCAGAGAACCCCCTTCTGGGCCTCCTAGACTACATAATAAGATCATGTTTCTCCAAATTTGGATCCAGCTTAATCTGGTTTAATTTAACACAGACTTCTCAAACTCAAGTCTGGAAACATATTCTTCAGCAGAGAGAAATTGATGAATTCTCAACAGTTGTTTCAAAATTTTGCCTTCTCACTTTGATAACCTTGCAAATCCTGCTTATTATGACGCCGTAACTTTACAAACTATGAAGACAAAATTTCGTATTCACTGTGACAATGTGATTGCATGGAACATTCGCTTTCTAAGTCAGGTTTTCTCAAACTTGGGAAGTCGCCAAGAATATTTTTTCCCTTCTAGGGGGCCCTGCACATCACTTATTTGAGAACTCTGCCCCACCCCCATTCGTAACTATTAGTTCTATGTCTGGAGTCAGTGTGAAGTCCTTGGACTGTTACAAACCTTCTATCATCAACAATGATAATTTTGGAAACCCAATCATCTCAATTGGAAAAGCCAACAGATCTTCTACAGGAAGCCTGGTCTAGAGTGACAACGGCCCACCATCTGGTGTTTCAGAGGTAGTATGGCAAGCTTCCATCCTGGGGACATGGTCCCGGGGGCTTCGCGCGTCTCACCTGGAACGTGGTTAACTGATGGATCAGAGCGTTTCGGATTGTCTGGATCTGAGAGGAGATCACGGAGAGCACAGAAGCGTCGATTCGATTAAACTCATCAAAGCAGCCCCAAGCCCCGCACTGGGCCAGGCCAGAGAAAATCTTCCCCACGGCCTAGGAAGAAAGACATGTCAGGACAAGGACAATTTTCATCTTTAAAACTGCAAACAATGCATTTATGGATATATTTTCTAAATTAAAGCAAACCATGAGATCGCCGATTGGCAGAGAAGCAGGCGACCAGCCACCTGACTAGTGGATTTTTCTGGCAGGACTTCCAAGGCCCCTCATGGGCTGGCTCCTACTTGGGATTTTACAAATCCAGATTTTTGTGTAAAACTCCATTTGTCTTCTCTTCTCTTGAAATGTTGGAAAATCTAGCAATGCTGGGTCCACTTTCCCAAATAGTGATTATGAACCAGAGTTGGACAGTGGCGCCCTCTTCAGATGGAGTTTTGCTCTGCAGTTAGCCACAGATCCCACCACTCTCTATTAGTCTGCTGGCCGCTTTACTCACGTACATCATCTACCTGACCCTCCTAGGCTAGTGAATCCGGGACTCTTGCTCTACTTCCTGCTAGCAAAGCAGGATCGTCAAGCAGACACACTTGGGTTCTGGGGCTGTGGTGGCGGAAGGTTTCCTCCTAGCTTCTTCCCACTGACGTCATGTCACTTCACAGAAGACTAGGAAGTGAAATGCCATGTCCTGCTTTAAGCTCTCTACCTAATGAGCCAGTACCAAAGGTGACAGCAAGGCCTTACCTTGTAATCCATGCCTTCGCCACAGTTGGTGACAACGCAGAGCAAACCCAAGGCTTTCGCCAGGTCCTTGGTGGTCTCGGTTTTGCCGGTACCTGCTGGGCCAGCAGGGGCCCCACCCAGATACATGGACAGTGCCTGTTATAAGCCAAATGCAAAACATATGTTTTCTGGTGCACAGAAGGAAGTGGGTGTCATTTCCAAATTCATCACTGTGACTACAGGTGCAGAATAGAGAAAAAATGTGGTGGTTGCTTTCATGCGTCAACTTGACTGGGCCACAAGATGCCCAGGTAGCTGGCTAAACATTATTTCTGGGAGTGCCCATGAGTGTGCTTCAGGAAGAGAAAAGCAGGTGACCCTCCCCAAAGTGGGTGGGCCTCATCTAATCCGTTGAAGACCAAACAGAACAGAAGGATGGAGGGAGGTTACATTGGTGCTGCCTGACTGCTTGAACCAGGGCACTGGGCTTCTACCCTTGGCACTTCAGGTTCTCAGGCCTTCAGACCCAGACAGGCATCTACACTATGGGCTCTCTCACTGGTAGAACTTCAAACGCTACTGGCTTTCCTGGTTCTCCAGCTTGCAGATAGCAGATTGTGAGAGTAATCAGACCCTGTCATCACATGAGTCAATGCCTCATAATAAATCTCTTCCTAAATATCCAGATGGATGGATGGATGGATGGATAGATAGATAGATAGATAGATAGATAGATAGACAGATAGATAGATAGATAGATAGATAGATAGATAGATAGATAGATAGATAGAATAGATGATAGATAAAATAGATGATAGATAGGGATGATGGATGGGTAGAGACAGAGAGAGAAGATAGATAGATAGATAGATAGACAGATAGATAGATAGATAGATAGATAGACAGACAGACAGACAGGATGGATGGATAGATAGATATATGGATGGATGGATGGATAGATAAAATAGATGACAGATAAGAATGATGGATGGGTAGATACAGACAGAAGATAGATAGATAGATAGATAGATAGATAGATAGATAGATAGATAG